TCTCTCTCTCTCTCTCTCTCTCTCTCTCTCTCTCTCTCTCTCTCTCTTTCTCTTTTTCAGATGCCAAGGAGATTGTGTTGAAAGCTCAGATCCTGGCCGGGGGCAGAGGCAAAGGTGTGTTTGACAGTGGCCTTAAAGGTGGAGTGCACTTAACCAAGGAGTAAGTATGCCCCCATCTCCATTTCACACTGAGTTACTGTAGGAGATAGATTCATGTTATTTCTCCTGCGACAGCGACTTTTAGAGCGAGGAGGCTCAAAGAGCTCTCTGAAGATGCTCCCTTGGCGCTTGTCAGGATTACTTGTGCTGCAAACAAACAGTTTTTCTTTCTGCCAGTGTCTCGTTTTCAAACAACTACCCTCAATTAAATGTTGAAAAGGGGATTTTGAGGTCGGCAGAAGGGTTTTGCACCCCATACTGAGTTTTCCTCTCTCGGGTTGGTTGGGTTTTGCGCCGCTGCTGAGATATATTTGACTCCATCTTAGAATTACAAAGTGCGATGGGTGTATTCCTCCAATGAAGGCTTGTTCTGAAATTGTGCATTTTTCAAAAGGCTAAACAATATTTTGAAAGATTTTTTTATTTTTATTTTTTGCTCAGGCACTGCATTTTACCTCGCCCACGTTTTCATGTACTAAAACAACGCTATCTTTGCCGACCACTTACTGCCGCCTTAAAGGCAAAAAAGTGATTTATGACAATTGTCCCGGCTATGTATCATCGTCACCCTACTTCAGGGTTCAGAATGGCCGGAAACTTTTTCAAAGTGAAATACGCTGAAGTTCATCGTCCCCAGACAGTGTCATGAGTGCACAGTTCACCTTCCTCTCATCTATCAAAGGATGAGAACAACCCCATCTTCACTTTTACTCACTTAGAAAAGCAGAGAGAGCAGGCGTACAGCAGCCGCCCCGGCATGTGTGCTGCTTTTAAACAGAGCATGAATCGAGGCTCATTCGCAGCGATGTGTTGATGTATCCGAAAACTGTGCTTTGTCAGAATGTTACATAAATGCCCAGAATATGCTGAGGCATGTCTCTCTTCAACTGCGAAAAAAAAACCTCTAGAGAGATAAAGAAATACTTTTTCTGCTCCTCTTTCATTTTGTAAGTGTATGCTTTCCAGTGTTTGTATTTTAATAGAAATGAAGTCTGTTGTTTGAAAAAAGGATACTGTTTGACTTAATACCTCTTTCAATCAGCCCTGCTGTGGTTGGTGAACTGGCCAATAAGATGCTGGGTTTCAACCTGACCACCAAGCAGACACCGAAAGATGGAGTGAAAGTGAAAATGGTGAGCCACTGAAGGAAGGAAGGAAAGAAAGAAAGATATACGTTGCTCTTTCTTGTTTTTCTTTTTTTTTCTGACCTCATTTTAAGGCATTTTGAGTCCAGCAATGCAGTTCTGTAAAATGAATGACTGTGAAGGCAGTCTGGCTCTATGGTTTTGTGTGTTTGTTTTTTTTTCCCACTAGGTTTAAACACTAGCCATCCACTGCTGTTTACTGTGGGTTTGCGCTGGCTGGTGTTATGGCTCATTGCATAAATTGAACCGGGCCCACTGTGAATTTAAAGTGTTTGGTAAACAACTGTTTCCATGTGCCACTAACGAGCAGGAATATCATTTTCTCTACTCGCATGCTGCATGCAGTACCTCCTCAAAACAGACATTTCCAGGTGATGAAGCCTTCTCGGGTCTGTAGCTTGTGTGTGTCCCCCCCGCTCTCTGTCTTTGTCTCTCCCCATCCCCTGCTACCCCCCATTCCACCTAACTTCTGCTCCTACTGCAGAGTTTAGGTGGAATCAAGTGTGTCACACATGTCATTTTTTTTATAGAAAGCCCCTGCAAGCTCAGAATTATCTCTGTCTCAGAGGAAAAGGTAAACAAACTAAAACTGGGCGAAAGTTGAATTAGATCTGAGTGAGAAGAGATGTGACCTCCTGTTGGTTCTACCAAGAACATCCTCTTTTGCCTGTGGCACTGGAGCCAGACCTGGGAGGAGCAGCCCTTGACAGACCTGAAGGATCGAGAACAGTAACGGTGTAGTCACAACCTCTCGTCTGTCAGATGACAGACAGAGCTTAGCTGTCAACCCTGAACCCCTACTGCACCACAGAGCAGAAAACAAAGGAAGGGGGCACTTCAGCATCTGCATAGATTTGCTCTCATTGCACTGATGATGATGAGGAGAAGAGATGATAAAGGGACGATTGGGACAGAGGGTGTAAAAGATGGTTGTTGAAGAAGACTGGGTTTGAGGTGAAAAAGCAAGCTGGTGGGAATAGAAAAGTCTGAGTGAAGAATCGGGTGACAAATCGAACAAGAGGGAACTTAAGAGAATGTTTGAGTGACTGGAGAGGACAACATTTGGACAAGGAGATAGGGCCGCTGTCTGTGAACACTGAGTGGAGAGAAGGTTATCCATCCTCATTAGCTGTGGTAGGGTGGAAGCAGAACATAAGGGCTGTGCATGTTCAAACAAACACTTCATCCGAATACCTGCAGCCCATTAACCACCACACATCAGATTTTTTTTTTCTTCCTCTCTTTTCCAAATGAGCCTCTCACTTGCTTCCTCTTTCCTCTCATCTTCCGGACTCTCAGCATTGAGGTCCCTCCCTCTCATTCACAACAGATTTTCTCAGAGCCATGCTTCATAGATTCTGCCTGTGTATATATGGACCCTGTTTATTTGCCTGTGCCATTGTGTCCTATGTATATTGATGTAAAAAGTTAAAGTTAAGTTTGCAAAGGTTTGTCAAAAAAACATCAAATGGTGTTTGTTATTTGGGCTTCAGTAGGTACCCTTATGTGATCATGAGTTCCAAACGGTAGAGATCATCATTTATTTATTTGTTACATTTTGTTTTACGAAGTTAAGAAAGCAATGTTTTAGTCAGGCCTGATGTTACCTTACACATGCAAGAATGATCCCAGTCACTTCGACATAGTGAGGCATAAAGCTAATTAATTTAACTCTGGCATGCATCAGTCCTCGGAATCAGCCGATACCCAATGCCCAGTTATCGGTATTAGAACAAAAAATAAATAAAGACGAATCGGTGCATCCCTCAAGTTAGTAGGGTAGCTACATTCCTCCTTCAGCCCCTCTTTCTCCTGCTATGCTACATCCAGGTGATGGTTGCTGAGGCCCTGGACATCAGCAGGGAGACCTACTTTGCCATCCTGATGGACCGCGCCTGTAATGGTCCTGTCATGGTCGGCAGCCCTCAGGGAGGTATGGATATCGAGGAGGTGGCCGCCAGCACCCCAGAACTCATCTTCAAGGTATATGGTTTGTGGCTCGTACCCATCACTGCAATATCTAACGAGTAAGAATAACAAAGTGAAACGTATCTGCCTCGGAAACGATGCCGAATGTGAAATGGACTAATCTCGTCTGGCACAATGGAACTCTTAAAAGAGCGCAAACACCTCACCGTCTTGCCAGAGACGGTTTTCATCAACAAAATTTTTATTTGGCTTGATGTCTCACCAGGGCTCGATTGCCCAGTGGGCCTTACAGATGGAAGCTGTGCTCGTTTCGTATTTTTCAGCTAATTCAATTAATTTCTTTCCTGCCTGCATGTGTGGCGCAGCAGCTGAACATGATGCCGACATACAGCAATACACTGAGGCTTGACACGAACAAATACACAGCCTTCTGTGCTTCATTTCGCTATTAATTAGATTCCATTTACAGAACATAATCCGCTGCAGTCACTTGGCTACTAGGCAACAGGTCTTTGTCAGTGTTAACAGATGTACCATTTAAGCACTACAGATTTCCTATTGTTGTAAATCTTCCGTTAGCATTTGTCCACAGATGTTGGAGCGGATTGTAAAGATCCAGCAGAGATTTATGCCGGTTATATATGCAATAAACAGCTGTGATGTTTTATCTCACCCACATGCTGGCCCTCCACACATCTCATTAAAATCGATATGGTCCAGACAGAGTTTAAGCAGAATTGTTTACACCAGCTTACGACAGCTGTCAGTTTTATACTCTATTTTATTCAATGCTGTGCACCCTGAAATCCCTCGGCCATTTGTCTTCCTATTTAAACAGATATATGCAAGCTTCTCGTTATCGAAGATACGAGGGTCTGATGATCATAAATCCATCGTTTCAGCCCAGAGTCACCCTTCTCTCTGTCTGGCAGCTTGCCACTACTTAATTATGATGCCTGCAGTTTGATATGAACATCCGCTTTGTGTCAGATTTAAAACCCAGTGTTTTGAGCCTCTTGCGCTCTCTCACTCCCTTTCTCCATTTGTGTCCCACCCTTTTTCTTTCACTTTCACTGCAAACCCTACAGGAAGTCATAGATATATTTGAAGGGGTGCGAGACGACCAGGCACTTCGCATGGCAGCTAATTTGGGTTTCAAAGGACCTCTGCAGAGACAGGTAATGGGCACGCTCGCTTTAATGACACGATGCAAAGAGGAGGCAGAAAAATCTACAATGCATTGCACACACACGCACACACACACATATCCTCATTGACAAACACACCAAACTTGGGCTATTATTAGTTTTCCGGCGACAAGTTGCGAGGCGTCATTACACTAGACTCACTTGCCAGGTGGTCTATTGTCACATATCTGGCAGTGAGGCGCTGTGCCAGGCTGAGGCATCACTAATGGTACCGTTATTTCATACAAGCCTCACATGGATTTTGTGAGTGAATTATGCAGCGAGAGTCAAAACTCATCACAATGGGCAGACTATAATTTTGAAAAAATGTTTTCTTGTCATCTCAAGTTTTAAGAATGCTGCTCAGGCAGCGTGAGCTAAGAAAACGAGGTGAAGGAGGAACAGTACAGAAACACTCCCGAGTCCACATTCTGCAAGAGTAGAGAGTTCATTTAAATGCCATTTGTCTCTTGGCATCAGATAACTGATTTGTTTTCTCTTCCACAGGCACCGTGGCATGAGAAATCAGATTAGCTCAGAATCTTAGCACTTGTAATACATAAAAAGCAGCCAAGTGAATCTGCTTCTAGCGAGAGTCAAGGATCTTTTCAGCTTTGTTTGCATCATATTGTATGCAATCCTTTTTTTTTTCTTTTTTGCCGGATACTGAATAGGCATTGATTTTTAAACGGGCACGGAGAGGAATAGAAAGTAAATGGTTAGGTTTCTACATTGTCAGTATGCTTGTCCATGGTTGCTGCGAGTCAGCTGCCACACTCTTTAATTCAGAGATAATTACAGGTCTTCTTCTGCAAGACCTCTACTGTCTGGAATGAGTCATGGGATGACAGGATCTTTGTGTCGATACAAGTGTGAGTGTGTGTGTGAGTGTGTCTATGCCTATACTGGTTTTGTGTGTGTGAAAGAAAAAAGTAGGTGAAATTAGTGGACTGTGTCTGGAACTGTGCAATTTAGAAGTCCTTTAAAGCCATTTCAAGCCTTCAATACTAAAGAACATTTGCAGCAATAGAGAGATCATTTAAATTGGGGATTTTAAGAGAGATTATTTAAGTGTGCATTATATTCTGTAACCACATTAGCATGTGCTGTAACTCATGTCCTGTTTTGCCAGTTGTCACACCGTTTTGAGCAAAAATGGAAACATTTTACATTTCAGCACAGAGACATACATATTCATACAATACAAACTCAGACAGCGTTGTTGTTGAAGGGGATTTGCCGTGTTTCATGTAGCCTGTGTGGGAGGCTGAGCGGCCTTGGAGAGGCTGGCTGCTTGGAGCCGAACCATGAAGTAATTACTGTCCTATGTGGTCCTCGCAGGCTGCAGATCAGATAAAGAGGCTCTATGATCTGTTCCTGAAAGTCGACGCCACTCAAGTCGAAGTCAATCCTCTCGGAGAGACGCCCGAAGGACAAGGTACCATGTAGCGCTGAAAATGCCCATCTTTTTGTGTGTGTGTGTGTGTGTGTGTGTGTGTGTGTGTGTGTGTGTGTGTTGACTTGGCCTCAGTATTTGTTTGTGTGAGTTACGCATGCCCATGCGTGTCTCTGCGTGTGAGTGTTTTCCTGTCATTAATTGTTCCCCCAATCATGTTCAACATCCCCACTATTTTGAATACTTTGAATAGAGAGCACTTTTTGCACAAACATGGAGCTAGCTGCTGTTCACTGACTGTGGGATACATGCAGACTATCTCCTCGGGTCTGAATGCATTTAAGAATGTGAAATGTATTTGCAACACATTGACGTCAGTTTCCTGTCAGCGTCACTTTGTCTGGATTAAAATCCGAATGGCTCCAGGGAGCAGAGATTTCCATATTCATAGCATGTTGATGAGTCCTAGTTGCTGATGATTATCTAAAGGCGTACAGTCTATCATCGACTAGTAATGAGGAACTCCAATGAGGGATTGCAGCAACATTCATCTTCTTCTAAAAAACAAAACCCCGTTTGATAAACTGAATGCTTCAATCAAGGCCTTAAAAGTGATTGAAATGACTTAAATTGAAAAATGTTTTAATTTGAATAAAAAAAACAATTATCAATTATATTAAACAGAAGCGAGCTTATTATTTTCTACACATAGCTGTTTGAAAATGTGCTGTTTTTTCTCTTTTTTCAAATTAAACTAGCTAACTTTGTATCTTAGAATAAAACGTAATCTGCTAAATCCTAACACTACTTTAAAAAATAGTAATTGTTAGATTTGTCACACTATTCACCCTATGTGTCCTAAAAGAACAGTTTTCTCTTGAATCTTTTTGTTGTAAGTCTACATTATTCTGATAGTTAACACTGAGCCGAACCAAAAATACTCTGGAACACCAACCTGGAGTTCCTCTGTCAGGAGAGAGATATTTAGTCTTTTTGAATAGAAAGTCTTCATCCTCAATTCACTGTCTTTATAGCAGCACAGCCGATCCTTTTACAGGTTAAGTTTAAATGATTATATTGTGTTCTGCAATCAAGCAACAAACAATGTCTGTGTTGTCGGTCAACTCTAATTACGTCAAATAGAAAAAATGTCACAGTGAGACTGAAGTCTTCATCCAGACCTTCAGCTCATCATTGTTATGCTTTGAAGGATGTGTAAAATAGTGGTGGTGATGTCATGTTAATGTATGGTGCGGCAAAAAATACCCAGATGGGTCACATTTCATGGATATACCTGTATGTCTGTTAAGATGGAATCTAAGATTAAATAAATGGTTTAATTTGGTCTTTCTTAACAAGTGACAGTCTCTGTTAAACCACATTAAAAACTATTCAACCTTTCCACATAATTTGTCCAACACGTTTTATTAGAATATTGTTTCATTTTATTATTGTCCTCTTTGATGTGTGACTCCAAGTACACATTTCATGGCCTGTTTTTTTTTTTTTAAATTGTCGCCAACAACAGCTGGAAGAGCTGATCCTAAACGGTGTGTTTGGCGATTCAGCAATTGTGAGCTGTACCAGGCTTCTTTGGATCACTATTTACCATCGCTACGGTTCGAGCTTCAATTCACGGGACCAAAGCCAGCCTCAGTCCAATTTTTACAGTCGTTGCATGCGTTTCTCACTCTTCCTGTCTTAAGACAAAAAAACAGAGAAATGTGTAAATTTCCGTCCCTTGTTGTCACTTGAATTACAAAAAACATGACACAAGTGTAGGTTAGCAGGTAAACATTTCAAGCACTCATCATTCAGACGAGAAAGACGCTGTACATCGTCATGAAGCATTTTCTAGCTGTTGAGACGCTGCTTTCGTTGAACTTGTAGTGAACTTTGTTTTTCTCCCAAAGCAATGAGAGAGCGATTGTCTTGTCTGTTGCGCTGAACACGTATCGACTGTGATGTGTCCTATCGAGACGTGTTACGACACGCTGAAGATGCATCACTTCTTTGATGTTATTTAGTCTCCGCAAAAACAGATACTTGTTCAAAGTATGCTTTATCAAAGATTGACAAGAGGAGTTTGTTGTTTCATGATTTCTTATGAATATTAATGGATAAAATGACTCCTTTCAAACGATGATTTTTCACTGAGAGGTGTGCGGTTTTCTTTTCTAGCAGCAGGAAGACGCAGTGGCCGTGATTGTGGCAGGCTTTGTAGACAAAGCCTCGCATGGAAATCATTCTTTTGGTTCGATTAGTTCACGTCACAAGTGAGCGTCGTCATGTGTGCCATTTTCCGGCAGGCCTCCAGCAGATGTGTATTGGAAAGGCAAATTTCTCAAGGGTGGAAAATCTGTATTTTTTTTTTTTAATTTTTTTTTTTTTGATTTGTGTGGTGGGAGGACACAGAATGTCTACTCCTCAGTCCCCGGAGAGTGTTCGCTGCTTGTACCGTGTGTCTATGTACACATTTGTTTGTGTTTCTCTTTTTGCGTACGGCACCCCCAAAGCCAATTACCATATTTTCTTATTTTCTTACATGTATTTACTCTTACATGTGGGTGATCTGTTTACCTGCAATGTGCTCATTAAAAAGGTTCAATGGAGAACTTGACGCTGGAAGTTTTAGAGACATAAAAAGCAATAGACGTAATACATAATAGTTGTATTTTTAATGTTTGAAATTTACAGATAACTGATTTCTAAATCTTTCTCAATGTCTGCCCCTGTTTTCAGTCTTTAAGCTAAGCTAACCCGCCGGTGGCTATTGTGATGGCACATTTCCACTGTGACTTGTTTGTGTTTTTATTGTCAGAACATTCAGTGTTTTGTCTCTTTTTGTCTTGTGAGATAAAACTTCAAGGTTTTAGGACTTTATAAACAAGGTTAATAAATGTCAGACATGGTTAGTGAGGGTCCTCTCAAGTAGGCGCGCGTGTGTGTGTGTGTGTGTGTGTGTGTGTGTTACTCAAGGACATGGTATTGTCAGCTTAGATAAGGGGCTGAATGGGGATGCAGACAGTTGACCATTCAATAGTTAACCACAGAACGGTCACTGTTGTCCAGATGTCTTAGTGATGACTCATCGTACCCCCCACCCGGTGCTCAGGTCCTTTTATTATAAGTCGTGCACAACCTGCACCCTGGGTTTGTCCCCCCTCAGACTGCATTGCACTCTGTATGACGATTGAACCTTCTCTGCGCAGAGAATAAATACTCTAAAAGACAAGTTTCAGTAAATTTCAGTATCATAGGACTCACTCGGTACTATTAAATATATTAAATCGTTTTTTCCACCACACTACAGCTACATATTTACTGTACAGACGACAGTGGTCTCGTTCTTCTCATCTCAACAGACTTTTTCAAAATGTCGACCTGTCACTTTTTAAGTGTAGTTGTGTATACAGCCCTTTGACTGATTTGTTAGATACTTTGCCTGCTATTTCTTTAAGTAGCTTCATGAGTGTGCCCGGTCTCTTTGAAATGTACTCTCTTTGAAGTGTAAAGGAAATGTCCATTTACTATAATGGTCTATCCCTAAGAGGCAGTGTCACAAACACATGCCTTAGTGCGCCAACCTCTGAGATAATTAGGACCAGTATGCCGAGGGAACACCCCTCAGTTCATTAATTTCAGGTTTTGGAAATGATAATTAGTTGTCTTTTTATGTCTGAAGTGCTGCTTCTCTTTCCCTTTCCCTTGCCTGTCTTCTCCCTCTCTCCCACTTTTGTGCTTCCTCTGTTGCGAGTCTTCACTCCTTACTCAGTCTTTGTCATCTCCTCATTCCTCCAGTGGTTTGCTTTGACGCTAAGATCAGCTTTGACGACAATGCTGAGTTTCGTCAGAAAGCAGTCTTTGCCATGGACGACATGACTGAAAGCGACCCCACAGAGACGGAAGCAGCCAAGTGGGACCTCAAATATATCGGACTGGATGGAAACATTGCCTGCTTTGGTATGGAAACAAAACCCTGTAACATAACTCATTCCTACACACACACACACACACACACACACACACACACACGCCAGCCATTAAATTAATTTTCCCATAAGCGAAGCTCTCCTGGCGTCAGGGTTTAATGCGTCTCTCAAGTCGCATAAGTGAAAAGCTCGGACACAGTTAAAACTTAGTCAAAGTAAAGACAGCCTCGGCTCTCCTCCAGTCCACATTACAGGCAGCTTTCTGAGGACTCCAGAAGGAATGCTCCCGTAACCAATGCGTTCTAATTGGCTATAATCCGCCCAGAAAGTCTCCAGCGAGCCAGATTGTTAGCATTCTCATTAAAGGCCCCCTATCTTGTCATAAATCAAAGCTTTTACAGTGTACAGCAGCACTAACGGGTGCTCTCGCGTCTCACCCCGTAGCCTCATAAACACATTAGATGTCTGTTAGCGCTACCCCCCCCTTCTGCATCCCCAGCTCCCGCCCTCTCTTAAAGTAACAGCAGCTTTTAAGGCCCTGCAGCTTCCTCGAGAGCTCCGTAAGCCACCAAAGTGGCAACTGTTAAAGCAAATGTCCCTTTTATTGAGACCTCGGTTGGTGAGCTCGCGAAGACACAAGTTCAGCCTTTGCTAAACCAAATGAGATAAGATGTTTTTGTGCACTTGGCTCCTGCACAACTCAGCAGGGTGTCTGCTTATTAGTTATCCTGGATTTTTTATTTTTTTTCCCAGTGAATGGAGCCGGTCTGGCCATGGCCACATGTGACATCATTGACCTGCATGGAGGAAAGCCAGCCAACTTCCTGGACCTGGGGGGAGGAGTCAAAGAGAGGCAGGTGTACGAGGCGTTCAAGCTGCTGACTGCCGACCCTAAGGTAGGAACAAAGTTTTACAAGTGCGTTTTGTCTCGCAAAGCTTGATTGTTACAATTGAGCACATGACCCAAATGGTTTCCTTATTAAAGCACATCCTCAAAGAAAAAGTCAAGGTGAAAAAAAAGAAGAAGCTATTTTACCACCTGTTGCATAGTCTTTGGTATTGCAGTCATGTATCTTGTCATAGCACATTCATAAAGCCTGCCTGGTTAGCGCTTTGTCACTGAGACAACGGCTGCTCATTAGACTGAGGGACCTTGGCATACGTCCATGTTTCACTGATTATGTGCCATCATTTTCAGTTGCAGAGGCATGAATCGCTGCCCTGCTTTTAGAGACTTGTCACCACATGTGCACGTGCATAATAACACAGCAGAGGCTCACATGTAACTCAAATGCCTTCTGAAAGTCTTGCAGCTCGGGATGAGTGGCAGCTTGAGGGGTCTTACAAGTGATTTTGCTCTATGTTCAGGAAGCTTTTTAACTCCAAGCTAAACAATATGAGCCTTGTAACAATACCACAGTGCAGATTGTGTGTTGACAGTCATCACCACCGCTAATTCCCCCGCTGCTGTCACTCCCACATCCCTGGACTGATCTCCGGTTGCCTCTGTATTAGTGTCTCTGGCGAGGCATGGTTGTAATACAGAGGAGCATTTGATACCAATTCGGTCTTCTGCCCCTTTTCAAACCGTTATTTACACATGCTGATTTCACTTGGCAGGAAATGATTTCAAAAAAAGATTTCCACTCACCTGTAAGTTGACACATTCAACCACAGTTAGTAATCTGTAAATCTACTAGAGATGTCTGCTTTTCTTACCTTACTAGAATAATGCAGTCTGCTCTTACATACTTATTCTGTCAATACTAGACCAATTTCATCTTAACTTAAAGATGAAGTGTTGGTGGTGCGGGTCTGGAAATGGAAGCTTTTTTTTTTTTTTAAAGGTTGTGCCTCATATTTATGGCACAGCAGCGAACAGACCCGTGTTGCACACCTTTTGTAGATGAATACTAAAAACCTTCCAACTTTAACACCCCAGCAGGCGACACACTGACTCACTCAGAGTTCCACTTTATGTAGATTCTGTTTGGTCTCATGTGAATACAAGTCAATGGTCTGTGAAGGGGAATAAAAATGATTATGGTGGGAAAAAAGAAATGGGATCAATATGGGGAGAGAGGAACTACAATGGCTTGTCACTCGCTCGGTATGGGGCCACCATCCATTATTATTATTATTGAGCCCTCTTAAAAGGTGGAAGTCTGCAGAAGCAAAATCGGGTATTAAATTCTGCATTTATTGCATTGCGCTCTCAAAAACAAAACAAACACAAACAGTGCGGCATGGACAACAGGATGCTCCTCCTCCTCTTCCTGTCTTGGGCTGATTCCCTGGATCCAGATGGGGGAGTAAGCCTGCTGTCTGTCCCTCCTGCTGCTGCGTATGGAAATGGGGACAGGGAGCTCCTCCCTAACAGGGAAGAAAGTAGAATAGGATTGACATTAAGCTGGGTTGGAGGCACCATTAGCATTTCAACCAGGGGAGCTGAGAAACCTGCTCTGATCTGTGGAGGGAATGTTAATCATTTCTCATATGAGCGTAAGAGAGAGAGAGCTGCTCATTTACATTTAGTGTTTTTTTGTCTTCTTTATTTTGCTAATTACCACAACTAAACTAGGACATACGAGCAGAATTTGAAATTGAAATCATTCCCCAGGCTAGGGGAATATGATGAGGCAAAATGATGGTTTCCAATAATTTGTCAATAACTTATAAGTTACTGCTTATTTCCCTTAAATATCAAGGGAACACCTTCAAACATGCACCCCTTTGTGGAGAATCTATTCACTGTTTGAACGTCCCACATGGACCGGTTCACATGTATTTCACATCATTATTGTTCCACCTTCTTTTGAAGGCATATGTCATGAGGATGCTCATTTCCACTGGTGCTGCATGAAATGAGTTTGGTGGCGGCTGTAGGGACGTTAATGTTCTGCTGCCTGCGTGAAAATATGCCACTGTTTGTACTGTGACTTTTGACTTGGAAGATTTGAATGTTTTATGTGCTTCGGAAATGACAAAAGTGCATTCAGCAGGCAGCATAGTAGGAAATATCCCGCTCTAATGACGGCATACTTTTCCACAAAAACAGGTATTTTGGTGTCCGTCTTTCTCCCTCAGATGCTTTTACGCTTTTTGTCTCCCGTCTCTCCCTCTGTCTCCGCTTTGATGTCTCAGGCTCATTGTGCTGAGAGGAAGTGATGCGAGCGTACTGCCGGCACTGAATAGCAGAGATGATAAAGCCTCCTCCTTCTTATTTGCTCAGCCAGTATCTTCTCTTGCGGCGTTTATTCCCTTAAACATTATTATTATTTTTGCAAGAACAGGGAAGAGAAAACAGATGAAATGAGGATACTACATGTGAAGTGAGAACAACATATGAAACAAAGAAGTCTAAATCAAATGATTGAAAGCTAAAAAATAAAGCAGTGTATAGCCCAGCATGTTAAATATGTGAGATGTTATGAAGCTCAGCTGGGTGTACTCGACCATTCAGTTTTGTTTGAAATTCGGCCCCCGGCTTTTTAAGACATATTTATTTCTCATGCTAAAATAAATATCTCCACTTTCTTCATATCCACGTATAGAACAGTCTGTTGACAGAATGGCTGAATTTATTAAGGTTTCTCTCATATCACCTGTAGGCACAGAGCACGAACAGGCAGCAAATACTAACAGCCAAATAACCTCGTTATTGCCTTGTGCCTGTGCCGTGAAGAAAGTGGCAGATGGATGTTATCCTTTTCTTTTCCTCAGTGCTTAAGGCAGTTTTCTGTAATTTTTATAGGCTGGAGTAAATGATAACATTTTTCTCAAACACACCGTTGTTGTTGTACGTTTGTAGAAAGCTCACCACTATATCATGTCTGACTATAAGATTTGGGTTTCTATTCACTATCAACAGAATCTCTGTCCTTTTTTACAGAATCCACAGGATTCCAACAACACTGAGTGAACTGTTTTTGAGGGATCATAAAGTCTTTCCATCTCAGAACGTTTTGTTCTACTGACGCTGTTGGCAGAGAGCCAGTGTCGCATTTCCGTCGTCGTGAGAATGTTCTGCTCGGCGCTTCTGTGTTCCTGTGAGTGTAAGAAATCTCAAATGCGATGGAGGAAGAATAAAAAACATACTGTTAGAAAAAAAAAAATAGACCAAGTTTTAAAAGTCAAGTGGTAACTGTGCATCTGTTCATCGTTTTCTGATGATATTATCTTATTTAGATAATCACAAACTTATCTATATATATATCTATCTATCTATCTATCTATCTATCTATCTATCTATCTATCTATAGATATAGATAGCGTGCAAAATGGGAAGGCTCCTCTCAGGAGAAGGAGGCACAGATTGGCACATTAGCATTAGTTCAGCTGGGTGACCCACCTCCCGGGCGGATATGGATATTTATAAGCATGTGTTAATGTTGTTGCATAATTGCGATGTTGATAATGAAACATCTTTTCAGCTCCCCTTGGTGTGTGTGTGACTGTGTGAGAGATCTCAGTTTGGAACGCTGAAGCTCACCTGTGAGTGAGTGTGTCGTCTTCAGTTTTTCTCTCTGAATACCGCTGCGTTTTGGGATTGTTGTGAATGTCCCCTAGCGCTTCAGCCCTCGTTGCCCTCCAGCAAAACTACATACAATTTTCCTTCCTTCCAGCTCAGTGGCTCTGCTTTAACTCACCTTTGGTCCTACTTAGACCACTTTCCTTCTTGTTGCAGTGACTCTCCTGGGGCTGGCCAACTCCAAGTCCCATCTCCCCCTTCTTCAGGGAAGGCACCACTATTGCTGCTTTTCCAACTAGGGCTGTGCGCAATTGCTTGAAGCTTCATTCATAACTCCGACGCTGCGCTCAGTCTCCGTCGCTGTCTGTCCTCAGTCCAGAAGCCAGAACTTACTGAAAAAAGATGGATGTAATCATTTCCAAAAATGATTCATCTGAATGTTTGCTCTCCGGCTTGCTGCACACAAAGGGTGGCATGGTCGGAATTAACATTTATATAACCACAAGAACACAAAATCATATTTTACCCATTTTTTTTTTAGGGTGATGACACCATAAAATATGACAACAAACATTCGAAGCTTCATTCGAAAACCTCAATAGAAGCTTTGAATGCAAAAAAGAATTACGTTTGGTACAGCCCTATCTCCAACACTATCTTCTGTTTTCTATGAAAGCGTCTTTATTGGTATTATTTAGCACTACTTGCGTTGTGATGCATACCTGAGCATTTATATTGGTGCCTCAGTGCATCTTCCTGCCTGTCTGCCATCTAACTATTTCCCCTTTTGTTTTCTTCCTCTCCTTCTTCCAGTTCTCTCTCTCAGCCTCTCTTTGCATTTCTCTTTTCTTCCCTGTAGCCTTTCATCTTGCTAAATCCTGTTAAAGTCAATGTGAGGCGCTTCCCTCAGTTTCGTGCCTTCGAGCTAAATCCCACAAGAGCCCATGGCACTGCCTTTTTTTTTTTGTCCTCATATCGAGATGTCTGACTCCATGTCTAATGTGCTTCAACATGTGTATGGAGTCACAGAAAGGCAGTGGCTTTGGTCCAGACCAGGTGAGCCACAGAAATGGGTTTGTTTAAAGTGCACCATCCTGTATTCATGCTGCACGGGAAAGATGGAAAGGAGCCCCTATTTTACAGGGCTGTGCCCTCAGGGTGTTACAGCACAGCTCATTCAGTCATTGTGCAGAAACACAAATAAGTGCAAATACGTTTTGTTGCACCCACATCATACACCAGTGTTTCCCCACAGGACTTTGTGAGACTTTGGTGGATGGACCTCGGATCCTCTGGGGTCTGAAAACACTATACCTGCACACACATGCAGCGCCTCACGAGCCCCAACAACTTTTAATCACAAAAGTCACCTGTGATGCGAGAGGGGAAAGAAAACACCTTCCCGCCGGAAGACGAGGGCCAGTG